CACCATATGAGCCAATAGTCCTAGGCATGTAGAAGTGAAGAAGTCAGCCCACCCGAAAACTTACACACGAATGTTCACAGCAGCGTCATTCATAAGAGCCAAGAAAGAAAAAACCACCCAGAATGGACAAACGAGAGAGCACCGTGCATCACAAAAGGAATGAGGTAGTGATACAGGATACAACGTGCATGAGCCTCCAAAACATTATGCTAAGTGCAAGAAACCACACGAAAGGTCACATATGTGATCCCATTTGTATGAAATATCCAGAATACACAAATCCAGAGGTGGGCGGTTGCCAGGAGTTGGGGGAGGAAGGAATGGGGAGAAAGTGCTCCGTGTGTGAGGGGTTACCCTGGAGTGAAATTAACAGAGATCACAGACCAGAAGAGGCCTGCAATGTCTAAAGCAACAGCGATTATCACTATCTAAACCATAAGGATCTTCTGCTAACAAGAGAAAGACAAGACACTTAGGAGAAACAAAATGGATCAAGGATATGAAAAAGAAATTCATAGACGACAGGAAAAGGACCAGTAAACATTTAAAAATATGCTCAAACTCCCTTGAGAAGTACAAGATCAAGTCATATTTTTTACCTGTCAGATTGGCAAAAATTAAATGTCTGACAACATCTAGTGTCAGAGAAGATGTGGGGAAACAGGTGTCTCCGTGTGCTGGCGGGAGGGGACATTGGAGAGCAATCTGGCAGGACTGGAGCTATAACCATACAACTCAATGTTCAACATCGGCTACAAAGAATGAGTTGTTCGAATGTACTATCTGGGAAAATGTAAAGTGGAAAAAGGAAGCCAAATAATACAGAGAGGATTCATCCCATTTGTAGGGGGAAAAGCACATAAAGAAGATGCTCATAGATGCACAGGAAAAGGTCTGGAAGGATACACCTGAACCCCGCTCCCCCCAAGAAGGGGACTTTACTTTTTACCATGAAACATATATTTAAAACATTTGCAGAGTACAGATAAAACTTCTGAAAGCGTTTTGTTTTGTTTTTTAAATTTAATTTTTAATTTTCTTTTTTAGAAAGATTATCCCTGAGCTAACATCTGCTGCCAATCCTCCTCTTTTTGCTGAGGAAGACTGGCCCTGAGCTAACATCCGTGCCCATCTTCCTCTACTTTATATGTGGGACGCCTGCCACAGCATGGCTTGATGAGCGGTGCGTTAAGTCCACACCAAGGATCTGAACCGGTGAACCCGGGCCGCCAAAGCAGAACATGTGAACTTCGCTGTGCCACCAGGCTGGCCCCCTGAAACCATTTTTTTCAGAGTGAACATTAAAAAGTAAAACCATTTTTGCAATTAGCTGACAAATGATGAGCATCCAGAATATCCACATGGGACAATTACAAATCAGTAAGGGAAAGATAAACAACCATGGAAGAAACAGACAAAGGGTATGAATGGCCATTCACAGCAGAAGCCAGAAAGGCCAACAAACATGAGACAAGATGTGCAGCTTCTCTGTAACCAGGGAAACGCAAGTTAGAGTCACAATCAGGCTGAAGGAAAGCTGTGACGTTGATGGCGCCAAGGGATGGACACTCTCCTATCCCGTGAGAGGGCTGGGGACGGATCTAACTGCTGTCGGGGGGCACTCTGGCAATATCTGGTAACGCTGAAGAATCAAAGAGCCGAAGGCCCAGCAGGTCCCCTTCTACTTAATTGCTCAGAAGTTCTCACACGTGAGCAAGGAGACACATTCCAGAATGTTCACTGTGCCATGGTTTATAATAGTGAAAAACTGGAAACTACCTAAATAGAGTATATTAATACGATGGGACACCACACAGCAATCAAAATAAAGGAACTAGAGTTATGTGTATCAATGTGGCAAAAAGAATCTCTAAAACAATGCTTGGTTTTTACAAAAAGTGATTTGGGGACATGAAGAAAATCTCAACAAATTTCAAAGAATTTAAATAATGCAGAAAATGTTCTGGGACCACAATGCAATTACGGTAAAAATCGATAATAATGGATATGGAGTTTCCTTTTGGAATGACGAAAACATTCTGGAACTAGATAGAGGTGATGGGTGCACCACACTGTGCATGTGCTAAAAGTCTCCATTGTACTTTTTCTTAGAAAAGTGGTTAAAATGATAAATTTTATGTTATGTGTATTTTCCACAACTTTTTAAAAATCAACAACAAAAAATACTGAGGAAACGCCATGTTAATAAAATAATACTCTTCTAAATAACTGATAGGTCAAAGGAGAAAGCACAATGGAGCTCAGAAAACTGAGTGATAAACGAAAATCCAATACATTGAAATTTAGGAAATGAAGCTAAAGCCATGCTTAGAGAGAAATGTATGACTTTAAATTCATTTATTAGAAAAAAGACTGAAAAATCAATGAACATTCATCCCAGCAAGCTGGAAAAGGAACAGCAAATTAAATCCAAAAAAAGTGGTAGGAAACAATAAAACTATCAAATACAATTAATTTTAAAAACACAATGCTGAATGTCAATAAAGCCAAAAATTGGTTCTTTAGAAAGACTAAAATAATTGATAAACTTCAGATTAACTAAGAAAAACATAAAATACTAATAATCAAAATTAGCAATAAAATGGGGATTTCACTACACTATTAGTGCCAAAAATACATACTGTGAATGTAATCATGCAGAAACTACCAGACTCATCTAGACTGAGGGACAGTGCACAAAATAACCAGCCTGGACACTTAAAAAATGCCAGTCATGAAAAACACATTCAGGCTGAGAAACTGTCCTAGAGTGAAGGGGACAGGAGATCTCTCAACTAAATGCAATGCGTGGTCCTGGACCTTGAAAAAAACCGCTATGAAAGCTGTTGAGACAGCCGGCAAATTGTGAATGAGGCAGACCCCAGCTCCCCACCATGAGGCTTCCCAACTCCCGGGATTGTCCCCTTGCGTGTAAGTGAATGTCCTCGTTCTTAGGAAATACACACCAAGGGACATGATGTTGCAACCTACTCTCCTGCAGTTCAGGTTCAAAAGGACCCAGGCGTAGGCTTCAGCCTTTAGTTCCAAGCTGGGAGGAGCTTCAACTAACAGGCCTGCGCCCTGTCAAAGCCAGGGGTCTGTGAGTTGACTCTGCCCCAGGGAAGCCAGGCAGACCTCCGACCCCGAGAGCTCCTGAAGCATTAGGGAGCACAGAGGGGACCTTGGCTCAGAGCCTGTGGCCCTTCATCTATGAAACGGAGGGCAATCTGGCTCTGTGGCTGTGAGGTTCTTCCCGGCCAGCTGTCTGAGAGGCCCAGACGGATCCGAGGAGCAGAAACCCAGTGGGACTGCCACTGGAAAACAGGCCTGTTTTCAGCCTGACTGCCTCTGCTGGCCCAGCTCGTTGCCCGAGGAGGAGAAGTGTGGCTCTAGCCGGCTGCCCATAAGCCCTTCAAGGCCCACATGCTTTTCAGCAGGTAAGGAAGGCGGGCCTGAACACCAAGCCAGGAGGGGCCAGGCCCTGGGCGAGGAGAGCTGGGTCCCCACCTAGGACTAAGTAAGGCTCAGTCTGGGCTCCCTCTGTTCCCCACTGAGCCTCAAAGCCCCCTCCCCCTCCACACTACTTACAGGAAAGGCCCAAAGACAACTTCTACCACATGCCTGTTCCCTCACCCCGCTATCTGGGCCAGGAGCCAGTGCTACCTCTCTGAAGGGGTCACGGAGCCATCAGAACGCCCCCGGCTGCTGTTCGTGGGGTCAGTGACTCAGGGAGTGACAGACCTTCATGTGTCTCCCAGGTGGGGTGGGTCAAACCTGGCTGCTCCTGAGGAGAAGCCCTGAATCCCGCCCTGCTCCCCACACCCTCCGCTTGCCCGGGCCCACGGTGGGGACAGAGGCAGACCCAGGAGCCCCACAGAAAGTGTGAGCTGGGAGCAAGGCCCTCCAGGTGCTTACCTGGAGCAGGAGGAGGCACAGATCAGCCAGACTTCAGCCTGCTGCCCTGGCCACTGCCTGACCTCAAGTGCAAGGAAGGAAGCCGTTTCTGGCTGCTGGTGTGTCTTGGTAGCAGGAAGACCTCACCTGTTTGCCCTGCCCTGTCCGTGGACGCCCACTCCTCCTAAGGCCCTGGATCCTCCATGTCCACTCCCCCACCAAGCCCAGGTGCCCCTCCTTGAGCCCCGCCCCAATAGCAGCCCTCAGTGGGTGGTGTCCCGTATGGGAGCCTTTTTAGTGGGCACCCCAGTGAGAATAGTCTACGGCTCAAGGCTGCTTCCTTCGGGGGTGCAGCACGGTGGAACACAAAACTCCACACAGCCGGTGTTGTTTGGAGGCCTAGTGGTGGCTCCAGGGTCATTGCTCCATGCCCCCTCCCCTCCAGAGACCTCACAGCAATGACAGGTCAGCTTCCCTGCCCTTGTGGCTCTGCAGAGAGCTGTCCCCACCCCCTCTCCTCTCCTGAAATCTGCCTTTGCTCTTTTTTTCCACCCTCTTTTTTGTTTTCTTTTCCAGCTGCTTCCCTCACTACACTAGGCCCCAGTGGCACTGGGAACCTCTCACTAGCAGGCTCAGTGCTGGCCCACTGTGAGCATCCAAATAATAAGCAAAAAAGGATGCTTTTACAGTCTCCATTTCCTCCCCAGGCCTTCCACAGCTCTCCCCCCCTCCCCAGCCCATCTGACATCCTCCTTGCTCCTGCTTAGGGGCTGGGCCCACCAAGCACACACCTGCTGTGACCATGCCCCCTGGCCCAGCGGCCCTGATGGCCTGCCCTCCTGCTCAGCGGTCACTCACCTGGACACTCGCCCAGGCCCACTGGACCCAGCTCCTTATTTTCCTGAACTGTGGTATTGGCCAACTCTGCCTCCTGCTGGAGCTCCCCCAGGACAGAGACGGACCCTCCCACCGCAGTCGGCCTCTCACACACTCACACGTGCGCGCGCGCGCACACACACACTCACACTCACACAAGGCGGGGATGTCAGGGAGCAGACTAAAGGACCATCTTCCCTCCCAGGAGTACCCAGGCGAGGACACGACCGTCTGGGGACAGGTATGCTTTATTACTTACAGCCAATTCCCAGATCTGATTATCCCAAAGCACGAATCAGATCACCACCCCCCACTCACTTACACTTTAAGAGAAGAATGGGTTATGGGGCTCTGGGCGGCTTCCATCATCACCCCGGCCCACAGCCTTCCCGAGACCACCCTGGGGCCTGAGAACGCAACTCTGCTACTTAGAGGCCTGGTCATTCTGGCCCCCACCCAACTCCACTCCTGACCCCAGGCCTCAGGGAGAGAGCAGACACTGCCAAGAGCCTGTTCCACCTGGGTCTCCTGCTGAGCACCAGGGCCCATGGGAACAGAGCTGATGGGTCCCAGGTCCACTGAGATGAAGAAAATAAGGCACGTGAAGGGGGAGCAAAGCCGAGAAACTGAGCAGAAGGCAGGTGTCTTCAGAAGTGGGTCACAGCCTCCTCGCCTTTCCTTTCTCCCTGAGACTTTCCCCCAGGCAGTTTGGTCTGGGGTGGGTAGAGGTGACAGCAGCAAGACAGGCCACACCCGAAGGGCTGGCGCGGGGTGGTTCTGGCAAGAGGAGGCAGGGCCCCCGCCCGCCCGCCCCAAACTCTCTAACTGGGAGTTGAGGTTAAAGCCACGTGGCTCCCGCCCCCTTTCCCTCGGTCCTCAGGCCAGCCCGGCTCCCGGGGGTGTGTGGGGGGCCACTGGTCACCCCTATGGAGGGGCTCAGCTCCGGTAGCTCTTGAGCAGCTGCCCAGCGATCACCAGCCTCTGGATCTCGCTGGTGCCTTCGTAAATCTCGGTGATGCGGGCATCACGGTAGTGCCGCTCGGCCGGCATCTCTGTCACGTAGCCCATGCCACCTAGGATCTGGATGGCCTACAGTGGGAAGGAGGGGCTCAGAAGGGAGAAGACTCCCACTTCTGGGGACAGACAGGGGCAGGACCAGCCACACAAAAGGACTGGTGGGGGGAGGGGCAGCTGGCACTCAACCCTTGGGGCCTGGCCCAGGCACCACGGACACTCACCTGGTGGCTGATGGCAGTTGCAGCTTCTGATGCAGCCAGCTTGGCCATTGCTGCCTCCTAACCACAGGGGATAAAGAGGTCAGAAACTGTACTTTGGGGGGAGCCTCCTCTCAGAGCAATAAACCCACAGGCCCAAGGAACCCCCCACCCCCCGACTTCTCCCTCAGTCCCTTGGTCCATCAGAGCTCTGGGCCTGAGGAGACCCCTTCCCCAAAGGCACCTTGGTGAAAGGCTTCTTATTATCCTTCAACATGGCAGCACGCCACGTCAGCAGCCGGGCACTCTCCAGGGCCAGGGCCATGTCCGCCAGCTTGAACTGCAACAAACAGCCCCACCCCGCCGCCTCCAGGTCAGTCAGCTGCCCCTCCCTCCCTCCAAGGACAGGAGGGAAGCGGGAGGAGGATACAGGAAGAGGTGAAAGGGTCCCACCCTCCAGTGTCGAGGCGTGGCTCCTGAAGTCTCCACCTCCTCACCTGGATGCCCTGAAGCTTGGTGAGGGGCGCCCCAAACGCCCTGCGGTTCTCAGCGTAGTTCACAGCACAATCGAGGGCGGCCTGTGCAATGCCCAGAGCCTGGGCGGCGATGCCGATGCGGCCCATGTCCAGAGTTTGCTGTGGGGACCACCTGGTTAGTGGCTGGCCAGGGCCTCATCCTGGGGCCCCACCCCCACTGCCAGCTCACCATGGCTATCTTGAAGCCCATCCCTGGCTCCCCCAGCAGGTTGTCCTTGGGGATGCGACAGTCCTCAAAGATGAGGTTGGCCGTGGATGAGGCCCGGATGCCCAGCTTGTCTTCCTTCTTCCCCAACGTGAGCCCAGGTGTTGGCATGGGAACCAGGAAGGCACTGATGCCCTGACAGGGCAGACAAACCCTGTCACCTTCTGAGGCTACCCTAGGCCACCGCCCTTAGGCAAACCACACCAAACTCCGGTCCCTTCCACCTCCCCAGAACTTCGGGCTGTGACGCTGTCTGCTGGCACCTCTGCGGAAGGTGCAGGCTCCAGCCCCAAGCCAACAACAGGGAGGGAGGGACAGGGACAGCCCCAGGTGCCCCAGAGCAGAAACAGCTCCATAGAGCCAAGGAGCCTGGGATCTGGAAACTATGAAATGACTGTAACCCAGAGGTCTCTCTGACCCTCTCTCTGGGGTCCCCACCTTGTTTTGCAAGGATCTGTCTGTGCTGGCAAAGACCACGGTGGCTGAGGCCTCCCAGGAATTGGTGATCCAGGCTTTGGTGCCATTCAGGACCCAGGAGTCACCCTCTGCCCGGGCAGTGGTGGAGGCTGCTCCCGCGTCGCTGCCATTCCCTGCCCCACACACAGGCTCAAAATCCAGCGGCACCTCCACCCCCCACAGGTGCTGCCACCAGCTCAGCAGGGAGCCCAGCCTCACGCCCCAGATGGCAAGCACGAAGAGCCAGCACCCCGGCCTCCAAAGAATCAGGCTCCTGAGAGAAAGCTCTAGGGTCGCACCAGCTCCCCACGCTCCTAGAGACTAATCCAAGTGGGCAATGGAGGCGTGTAGCAGCTGGCCATCTTCAGGCCGAAGGGACCCCAGAGCCAAACGTCCCTGCCGGCCCAGCTCAGCTGAGGTGACCATACGCTCCTTGGCAGATCCCAGGCAGCCAGAGCTCAAGCCCCAGCCGCTCACATTGAAAGCCTGTCCTCCGGCCTCAGGAAGCAACGAGCAGCTGACCCAAGTCAGCACAGGCCCGAGCTCCTGCCTCTGTCCCGGGGGCCACCCTGCTCTAGTCCCAGTCTGTCACCCTGATTCTGAGGTGAAGGGACTGGGGCAGACCACTGTCCCACCACAGTACCTGGTTCACTGAGCGCAAAGCAGCCGACTTTGTCACCACTGGTGAAAGGAGTGATCCACTGCTGCTTCTGCTCCTTGGAGCCGAACTTCAGGATAGGCCCCAAGTACAGCGACTGGTGGGGACAGAGGTGGGTGGTCGGAGGCCTGCGAGCCCAGGCACAACTGCGGGCTCGCGGACCCCACCCCAAGGCCTGCTCTCTCCAGAGGCCCACCTGAAAGGACGGAGTCCAGAGGAGGTCAGGGGCTGGGAACCAAGGCCTAGCTCTTGGGGCCTGGGATGTTGGGACACATGGCCAGAGTGCCTGCCTGCCTACAGGAGCCTCCCCTCCACCTGTGTGTCCCAGGGGCCCAGGAGGGGGCACTCACGTTGTTGACACTCATGATGACTCCGGTGGAGGCACAGCCCCGGCTGATCTCCTCCATGGCGATGGCATAGGCCAGGTAATCAAGGCCGGCACCGCTTAAGTCCTCAGGCACATCCATGGCCAGAAGCCCAAGCTCGCCCATCTTCTTCACCTGGGCCAGGGAAGGATGTCACCGCAAGGGCAGCTGCTGGGGGCCAGGGCCCACCCTCCCCAACACCAACCCCTCCTGCCCCTGAGCCAGTGCCTGCGGAAACTCAGGCCCCATCCACCCACCCCATGATCCCCGAGGCTGAAGACCTAGCTTCAGCTGAGGTCTGCAGGACAGCACCATTCATTCAAGCCATCCTGCCCCAACACTTTGCACTGGCTCACCTCTGTGTCCACAGCCACAACCAGTGAGCAAGTGGAAAGCACAGGAAGGCTTCAGGGGCCTCCGAGGTAAGGAACATGACAGCATAGCACCATATTGACCTTCTCTCAGTCCCTTAAGTGTACCACACACATCCCCCTCCTCACCACAGGGTCATTGCACATGCTGTTTCCAGTCAGTAATGCCCTTTATCAAGTCATTATCTTTTTTTTTTTTTTGAGGAAGATTAGCCCTGAGCTAACATCTGCTGCCAATCCTCCTCTTTTTGCTGAGGAAGACTGGCCCTGAGCTAACATCCATGCCCACCTTCCTCTACTTTATATGTAGGATGCCTACCACAACAGGCTTGCCAAGCGGTGCCATGTCCGCACTCGGGATCCAAACCGGCAAACCCCGGGCCGCCAAAGCGGAATGTGCGCACTTAACAGCTGCGCCACCACGCCAGCCCCCTCAGGTTACTATCTTCTCTTTTCCTTCAGATCTCAGCTCCAGCATCACTTCTTCAGGCCTCACTAAGTCTAGTTCTTTAATCACACACTCTTGTAGCACCTGTGCCTCTCCCGTGCAGTGCTCAAGAAGCTGGAATCTCACACCTATTGCTGTGCTCGTTTTGATTAAGGTCTCTCTTCCTGACCTCGAGGGCAGAGACTGTGTTTTTGTTCACTGTGATACTCCCAGTGCCAGCGAAAGAATGAATAAATGGTAAGAGCTTGGGGTTTTTGATTTGGAGTAACAATAATAGTAATGATTAATTATCAAGCACCTACGGATTGCCAAACACCACATAAGTACTTTACGGATACTCTTTCATCTGAGCCTCTCCAAAGCTTGATGAGAACGATGGTGTGAGTCCACCTCGCGTCACAGGACGGGAACCTGGAGCTCAAAGAAGTGATGCAGCTGCTCGGGGCTGCGGCTGGGACTGGAACCCGGGCAATGACTCCAGGATCTTAACCAGCTCAGCACCCTGCCCAGCTCTGCCCCTTCTGACCTAAGACACAGCTATTAGCCTCTGGAAGCCTGCTTTGCTACACAGCTTCCAGAAGAAACAGCTAAAACCAACTGCCTCTGGGGAGCGGGAGGGATGTGGGGCAGAAGAGGGACCATTGCTTTTCATCAGCCCCTTTGTGTCATTTGATTCCTGTAACCACATTCTTAGACTATTTTGACTTAAAAGAAGCAAACAGAAGAATGTTTGCAATATTTTCTCATTTTTCTATAATTAATATTACTTCTGTGATTATAAAAGTGTTACACCCCCTCCCCAAAGAGTACCTATCTCATCGAATTTTTTAAGGACTAACTGAGACAATACACACGGAATGTGAGCCGAGTGCCTGGCACAAGGTGAGTGATCAGTGAACAGCACTTACTGTCAGGAAGTGGCTGACAAGATCTCATCTCAACGACAATGTACAGGAGAAGGGGACATCTATGAATCCACTGCATTTCCATAATAATTTGTGTGTCCCTCTATGAGATCACTTATTTGATTTTGCCTTGAATTGCTCCCGTGGGAAACTCTCTCATAGACTCTAAGCTTGGGATGGGCCTTACTCCCCTCAGGGTCTCCCATGCATGACACCAGTGGGGGCAGAAACCTGGTTGCTGAGTGGCACTGAGCTACTGACCCCGCAAGTGCTGATCAGGGTCTGCAGCCCCCCAAGCAGACACTGGGCTGCAGTGACAGGGGAGGAGACATGGGGAAGGACGGCCAGTGTGTGGGAGGCAGAATGCAGCCCCTCAAAGATGGCCACGTCCTAATCCCTGGGACCTATGACTACGCCACCTTCCATGGCAAAAGGGACTCTGGAGACATAATTAAGTTAAGGACTTTGAGATATGGGGATTATGCCAGACTACTGGGGGGCCCAATGTCATCACAAGGTCCTCACAAGGGAAAGAGGGAGACAGGGGGGTCAGAGAAGGAGATGTGACCATGGAAGCAGAGGTCGGGGTGACGTGAATGCTGGCTGGAAGGAGCTCATGAGCCAAGGAATGCAGGCGGCCTCTAGAAGCTGGAAAAGGCAAGAAAGTGGGGTCTTCCCTAGAGCCTCCAGGGGAACCAGCCCCACCGACACCTTGATTTTAGCTCAGCGAGACCCTCTTTGGATTTTGGACCTCCAGGAACCGTCAGATAATAAATTTGTACTGTGTTAAGCCACTGAGTCTGTAGTAATTGGTTACAATGGTAATAGGAAACTAGTACACAGTGATCAATGGGACTCAGAGCTACCAGGGATGTGTCATTTTGAGAGTCGCTAAAAAGACAAACATTTGTGGTCACCACACCCCTGGGGGAGGAGGGGGCGCTCCTGCTCAGAAACGCTGCATCATTTCAGCAGGCGGGAGTCAACCAGGGGGTGGGGGAGTTGAAAGTAGAGAGTGCTTTAAGCAACAGTGTACTCAGAACAGGACCTGGGGACTCTCGAAGCCCTGTGCCGGCACAAGCGTGGCCTCAGAACAGAGCCCTTTCGACCCCACACTTAAGGCATCCAACAAACCTATTCTAGGGTGAAAACAGTGTTTTATTAGGGAATGCGGTGCTGGATTAGGAACCTGGGCCATATCCCACCAGGCGCTAGAAAGACACAGGTCTCCAAGATTCATGCTCAGGCCCAAACAGGAACCTTGCTGGAGGCTTTCTCTGGCCTCCCAGCAAAACAGACTGAGCTGCAAAAGCTCCATTTGTCTCACGCCATCCAGCCTCCCTGGACACTAAGACACAGCCTTCCTCTTCATCCCACAGCTCTTCAGTACAATCTTGGAATAACGGACGGCTTAACCACTCGCCCCACGACACCATTTCATCCCAAGAAACAAAAAGGGAACCAAAACTGCCAGGCAGAGCGTAGGCAGAACAAGGATCCTCCACCTTCCCTTTACCCATGGGGGAACTCACATGGAGAGGTGACACTTCCAGGACACATGGCGTCAGGCCACCAGGAAGCCAGAAGTCTTGGCACTCTCCTCTCTATGTAACAACCCTTCCCTCTGGCTGTCTTGATAGTTCTCACTGTGCCGGGAGTTGTAGGAGTTCACAGCTACTGCCCCCAAATGACTACCCTAGCAGGCGTCATCTCCCCCAGTTTTGACCCATGTCCCTCTCCTCCCTCTTTTTCTCGCCATCAGTGTCATCTTTTAAAACATCTGCCTCCGTCATGCTTCACAGTATGAACTCCTCCACCCCATCCGCAATGCCTGTAGACATCAAGCTCGCCCCATTTTATCAGTGATGACTAGAGCTGTTTTTTCCCAACCTTTCTCACTCTGAAACATATCTCTAGAGGGCCAGCAGGAGGGACATTCTAGCAAAAAATTGGAGACAGAAGCAATAATGGTGGCAATGTACAGTGACTCAAGTGTATCCTGAAAAAGTGACCAGCAGCAAGGGAAAGAAAAAGGGGGGGCAGTGGAGAGAAGAGACAAGATAATCAAAAAGAACAAGAAACCAAAAGAAATGAAAAGCAGCAAAACTGCCCAAAAGAGTATGTGTCCAGTTGTATAAATCACTTTTTTTTTTTTTAAAGACTGGCACCTGAGCTAACACCTGTGCCAATCTTCTTTCTTTTTTCCTTCTTCTCCCCAAAGCGCCTCAGTACATAGTTGTATATTCTAGTTGTAGGTCCTTCTGGTTGTGCTATGTGGGACACCGCCTTAGCATGGCTTGATGAGCGGTGCTAGGTCCACGCCCAGGATCTGAACTCGTGAAACTCTGGGCTGCCGAAGCAGAGCCCGTGAACTTAACCACTAGGCCACGGGGCCAGCCCCTATACATCACTTCTGATGTAAGTTATGTTGACAGTAACTGGTGAACAGCAACAAGGCCTCCTAATATTTTTGCAAACTGACCTTCAGAGCCATCTCAAGGGGGACTACTTAGAGCTCAGACCCACAGTGGTGACTCTCGGTCCCTTGTGTATGTGAACCAGGAAGCTGGACCGGCATCCTGAGAAGAGGCAGCACCACCAACTAGGCCAAGCCTCGCGGTCTCCAAACTCCCAAGAGAAAATGTGAAAAAGAGCAAGCCCCTTTCCTAGCTGCTGCGACAAAAGAGCAAATCTTCAGTTCCTGCTGCTGTCACATCTGGGAAATGTTTAAAGGGTTCCTCACATAAAAACAATGCTTTAAGGGGCCGGCCCTGTGGTGTAGTGGTTAAGTTCAGCGTGCTCCACTTTGGTGGCATGGGTTTGTGGGTTCGGATCCCAGGCACAGACATACATCACTCATCAAGTCACGCTGTGGTGGCGACCCACAGACAAGAAACAGAGGAAGATGGGCACAGATGTTAGCTCAGGTATATTGGTATACTGGTATACTGAAGTCACTCAATAAATATTCACTGAGTGAAGGAGCAGAAACTGAGTTAAGTTTTAGACATATGATTATACACAGGTATGCTTCTAGCCTGAGGAGGCCAAAATTGGTTGGAAACATCATTCTATTTCCTGCTGCCTTTTATAACAAAATAGCACAGTAAATTCATGTGTTCCTTTGTTTTTTTTGGTTTGGATCCAGAAAGACTAAAGTCCAACCGAGGTTACAAAATCAGCCAAATAAACAGAAACTGGCGCCAGCCTTCCACCTGATTCTTGGCCCACCCTCCTCTCAATTCTTCTCTCCTTGTCCCCTCCCTCAAAAACCCATTTTTTGGTGGGGGGAATTCTTCAGGAAAAAAATAACAGAAATCACTAACAAGCACCTACCACAGGCCAGAGGGTGGCTTAGGAGTCTGTATCTGGCTGTGTGACTGCTGAGCAAGAAACTTAACCTCTGGCTTCAGTTTCCTCACCTGGACACTGGAGATAATTTAAGTTACTACCTCAGAGTGTTGTGTTGAAGATTTAATGTAGAAGTACCTGGAATACAGTAACCCCCACATGTCAGCTATCCCTGTTATTATGACTATTATTTTAAAACACTATATGGTGTTATTTTGAATTCTGCAACCCGCCATACTATCCAGCGTCCAGTTCTTTGATCCTTCTGCCTGCTAAGCCCTCGATCCCTTCTGGAGCTCAGAGCTTAGCACCATCCACAGTGAGAGAGAGAATGATAAACGTAAAAAGCCAGCAGCCCTCAATCTTTAGTGAAGGGAAACAAACTTTGAGCAATGACCTCTGTAGGCCACCAGTCACCAAAACGAGAGTCCAGTTCATGTGTGACGGTGGCGAGATGAGAAGACTTAGCGCTATTTCTCCCCAGCTCGACGACCTCAGGCAATTCATAGAACTGCCTGTTTCACCTATAAGAGGGGACGGTAATAGCGGGACACGTGAGAATCTAATGACATGACAGAGGTGAAAACACCTTGTCCGAGATAAAACCAACTACAGATGCTATCACCGCTCTGAGCTGCCGTCGTGCATCCAGCAAATCCTGACTGAGCGGCCCCACGTGCCAGAAGGGAAGGAGGCTGATGCCACGACTTCCTCCTCCAGCAGCCACTTCTGCCACCATTTAGGAGGATTCCCTTGCAAATTCCCTAGCCCCCGAGAGCAAGTAGATTATAAAGCCAGAGGACTTTAAGAGTAGGTTGGTGAAAAGCCTGCTTCTACTACCAGCTTTCTTGCGCAGAGCAAAGCTACGTCTGTAATATTAGTAATAACTTGAGGGAATACAGGAATAATATAGGAAAAATAAATCAAGCCGTCTGTCGTTTGGCAGGAAAAGTCCCAACACACAGCCATGTCTCGGACAAGTGCTCTGGGGGCAGCGCCTGTAAACTGTTCCTGCTTTTCACTGGCCTGTCTGCTCATTCCCGTTCTCTACTCACAAAGAGCCTGAGTCCTTTCATGTCTCCACTAATGGTGCTGAGAGACGATGTGGCAGGGGAGGTTACCGAGAGCAGTGTGTGTGGCTACCGAGGGGAGAGGGGTAGTTTAGGCCCTTGAATAATAATATTCCCAACTAGAATAGGGCTTCCGTGCCTGCTAGCTGGGCGGCTAGGACAACCAAGGGGATAGTGGATAGAGGCGGGTTTTGGAGCCAGCCAGCCTTGGAGTGTGAATTCTAGCTCCAGAGACCAGTAAACCTTGGAAAATCAGGCATCTCTCTGTGCCTCAATTTTCTCAACCTTAATGGAAACGACAAAAACAGTATTAATAGCTGTCATTTTTCCAGTACTAGGCACCATGAATTTGACATACATTATCTCACTTAATCCTTGCAAGCATTCTAGGAAGCAAAATGGAGGTTAAATTTGTAGGTGGGGATGTCCTCAGGACTAAAGGAGATGACACATGTTGAATGCTTAATGCCTAAAAGCTGCCCAACTAATCTGGGTGCCCAGAATGCCACTCGCCTTCTCCGCTTCGAGCTCCCTCGATACTCCCACAGTCCATTCACAGTGCCCAACACACTGTGACACACAACAATTACTAAGTTGGAAATGCGGCCTTGGGGCCTAGAAGACATGCATATGGTGACTACAAAGACGACACATAAATAGTGACTACTACACGTGAATTCCACCCTAAAAAACAGGCAAAGAGGCCAGAAAGTTCTACTCTTTCCCAAGTTATTTACTCAACAAAAATCTACTGAGTATTTATACCGGGTGCCAGATACCTTGCCAGGCCAGGGGGTGCAGCAGGAACACATATTACAGATGGGCTAAGGCAAATGCAAGAGCACAGGGCCACAGCAGGGAGCACGCTGACTGGGACCTCAAGGTCTGGATGAAGACTGACTTGGCGTCAAGCCCTTAGCCCCGCAATTCATCAGCTCCACGACCTTGTGCGTATTATTTAACCCTCTCACCAATCTGAGGTTCATCAACTGTAAGTACGGTATACAATAATTATACCTTCACCTCATCAGACTGTGGTGAGAAACAGACGAGATAACACGTCTCAAGGACTCAGAACTGTGCCTAGCACATGGTAAGCATTCTATAAGTGTCGACTATTATTAACAGCACAAGGCCTGGCACACAGTAAGCATACTGACCACCCACCATTTTTACTGTTACTCCAGAAGTTAAATCCTGGTTATAGGCCTCATGCTGGATAAGGGAAACCTCCACAGAATTTCTGGGTCCCAGGACCCGCCTTAGGGTTCCTTGACTGGAGTCTCAGCGTCTCGGGCTGTCACTGTCACCACTCACTCTCAGGAGCCAAGGGCAGACCACCATCACCGGCACCGGCTGCTGAGGTTGAGACTCTCACCTGAGCTGCCGGAAAGAGATGTTCCCTGTCCACCTGGGCCGCGATGGGAACCAGCTCCTTCTCGGCAAAGTCCCGGCACGTCTGACGCAGCATCTGGTGTGTCTCGGGCAGGTCTACAGACTGGTAAATAGTATGGAACCGACGCCAGTCCTGAGGACGGAGAGCTGCCGACAAGAACAGCAGTCAATGGAAGCAGAACGCAAGCGGCCTTGCGTAATAATGAGAACGATGAAGATAATAATACTAATAGTGATCCACTAACTCAGTGGTTTACCCCCCAAGAGATATCTCGCAATGTCTGGAGACATTTCTGGTTGTCACAACTGAAGGGTATGTGAAAATGAATAAAAGAAACCTCAACTGACATCGGAGTCGGGAAGGCCTGCAGAGGGAGCTCTCAGGCCCTAGCACTCTTGGTCAATCACCCCAAACAGGAGGAGACCTAATTGCATCTCCAGTGGGGAGTTGGCTACTACTTTACCACCGCAGCAGGAGGAAAAACTTCTTCTTGGGGCAACAAACCCACCCAACGGCCAACGGCAAAGGCCTCAGGTCAGCCAGTGAGGCGCTGTCCCCACCCTGAACTCTCACTCCAATGAACTTTCGTCTAGAACAGCTCCTCCCTACTCCTCCTTTTTCTCTGAATTGGCCTATGGTAGTCACAGCATGCATTTCCCAAATGGCAACTTTTCTGATTATTCTGGAACCAACTCATTGTACCGGTAAGGTAACTGCCTATATTCTTTTTAAGTTGACAGGTGGAATGCTATGGTTACAGAATGGATAGAGGCCAGGGATCTTGCCAAACATCCTACAATGTACAGGACAGACCGTACAACAAAGAATTATCGGCCCAGAATGTCAACAGTGTCACTGTTGAGAAACCCACACTAACTCAACCCTTACTATGCTCGCTCAACACTTTGCATACAACCATGCCACTCAGTCATCAATATAACTTATATAATATTGATAGTACATCAATAATAATAAGAGCACAGCTCTGTGACCTTAGGCAGGGATCTCAACTTGACTGAGCTTCCGTTTCTATAAAATGTGGAAGACAAGGGCATTCAGCTCCTGGGGCTGGGAGAATTAAAGAGATCCTAACTGTCGCACTTAGCACAGGGGATAGCAGAGACAGCTCTCAGTGAGGGTCCCCTTTACTGGTATGATTCAGAGTGAGTGGGTCCTGACCAGGCTAAGGAAGCCCTGGGCACAGGTGTCACTGCTGCTGCAGCTGGAGAGAAATAAGATGGGAAAGGTTCTGTATGAAATAATCAACAAGAGCTAACGTTTACTGGGCACTCGTAACGTGCCAAGCACTGCACTGTTTTACATACCCTGTGATTTAATCCTTACAACAACTCGATGAGAACAGTAACATTACTGTGGCCATCTTACACATGGGCCAACTGAGGCTGACAGGAGCTGAGCGTCTGGCCCAAGGTCACAGATGCAGAGTCTGGGTTCAATCCCAGGCCTGGCTCCGGAGGAAGGGAGCACCCTGAATCTCCGGGGGCGTGAAATGAGGGCAGCGGGTGTGGATGCAGCCGTGAGAACCGGGCCGGCAGTGGGGGTCAGGGCACGGCCAGGCCGGGGTCAGGGCGGGAGCCGGGGCCGCGCAGGCGCGCGGAGCGGCCGAACCTTGTTAAAGGCCGCCGGCGCCGCCAGAGGGCTCGCCCCCTCACGCCCGCCCGCCGCAGGGGAGTTCCTGCCGCCGCGACTCACTCCGCAGGGCGGGGCCGCAGCGCACTCACCTCCGCGGATGGGGCCGCAGGCCCGGGCGAGCATCGCGGCGGCCATGGAGGGCAGAGACGACGCTGCGCTTCAACCGGGGTGTCGGGGCACGAACGCCCGGGCTCCGGACTGCGGGGGGCGGTGCCGGCGCGGCCCACAAGCCCGCCCCTCAGGCCTCGGGGGCGGGACCGACATGCGCTCGCGCGCGGGGGCAGGGCCTGCCGCGGCTCCCCCGAGCCCCGCCTCCCCCAGGAGAGAAGCCGGCCTCTCGCGAGGTTTCCGAGGTCGGGCCTCCCCCGAGCCTAAGACCCTTCGACGGTGGGTCTATCTTTCAAATCCAGTTCCGTGGCCTCAACGCTCTACGTGGCCCTCCCCGCCTACCTCTCCGGCCTCACGCCCACCACCCCCTTGCTGTCTTTACTCCAGCCGCACAAGGCCGCTTTCTCTACTACCCCTGGCTTGTTCCCGCCTCTGGGCCTTTCAATCACTGTTCCCTCGGCCCGAATGCTCCTTCCCTTCACTCGGGTCTCACGAGGCCTGCCCTGACCGCGGGAGGCCGGTGTTTCTCCCGACACACTCTACATCCCATTGTTTTATTTATTCGTGGCACTTAATGAGGCTACACTAGTCTGCGAGCTCCAGGAGGAGCAAAGGGTTTTGTCTGGCTCTAGTGCTCAGTATTTAGGCGCAGGGAACTGGGCTGCCTGGGAAGATTTCCTTCCCCCGAGGTTGTGAAGGCGAGGTGGCGCTGCTACTTCCCTGTTGCACTGTAGTCCCCTGTGTGTCACTCCCAATAGTGGGGCAGAGCTTCCTTGGGAGCAGGGAGGCATTTGGTCATCAGTGTCCTCGTCAGGGCACTTACACCCTGCCCAGGCAGCTATGGCGATTTCATCCACCTGACAAGGGGCGTCCCTTAGCACAAGTGTGAGCCAGCCTTCCACAGGCTCCTGGGCACCAGCCACACCCTCCCAGGCCCCCACACATCCCTCCAGCTGCCTTTCTCCCCCCATAACTCAGCCAGGCATCTGTCCCCAGCACTGACTCACATGCCAAAAATTCTGCTTCCTCCAAGACTTTGCTCTGCCTCCCGGACATCAATCAAAAGATGCAGCAAAGTCCTTAATATGTTACCTTCCATTTAAAAAGAAATACATTTAAAAGAAAGCCTCTAAATCCACAGTACTTTAAAGCCAAAGGAATGACTGTTGTTGGCAAATGCTCTGAGGTCTTCCTCACCTTTCCACCACCTCACCTGGGCACCAGCCCTGGGTGGAAGGAAAAAGGAAAAAGCAGGAGAGAGGGGGAAATAAGTGAGTGGTGTTTGTGGGCAGAGGCCACTCATTGCTTCAGGTGCCACAGAACATCTAAACCAGACATTTTAAAACTGTACTGTTTGTCACCTTAAACGTGGATGTACGTTTTATATTAAAGGTATGTAAGTTCTCTAGTAGAGACAAATCAGACAATGGCTGAAAGGGGCGGGGGGGAGGGCGGGAACTGGCCGTAAACACCAAGACCTTGAGGGAGCTTTTTGAGGTGATGTGAATACCCTGTACCAGGACTGTGATGGGGGTATACATTTGTCAAAACTCATCAAGCTGTACTCTTAAAGAAGGTGAATTTTACTGTAAAGTACCCCTCAATAAACCTAACGTTAAAATATGTGTATAAATGTTTAGTTCTGAAAGCCCTCCAGCAACATAAAGCAAAAATATTAAACCTAAAGCCCAATACTGGTCCCCACTCACCCCATAAACCAGCTGTACTCATTAACCACTTACAGAAAGGCCACACAAAGAAACTCGGTGCCCACCCCCACCCCACACCTGTTCCCCCCACCAATGCAAAGGGCCCAGTCAGGAGACAAGAGAGGGTACACATACTGCGAAAATCTTTCTTTTATTACTGTCTCTTGTGGCAAAATAACATTTTATACAAATAAGTCACCTAGTTTACTTTGGACACAAAGACAATACAAACTGGAATGGATCTTAGGTGAAGGGGAAAGAAGTGGAAGGAAAGATCAGGTCATTGATATTTCTTATACTCTGTGAAAAATAGATTTACAGGAAAAAATAGACTTTCACAACTTCAATGATTTTACACGATCCGTTGTAAAACGAGGGGTAAATCCACCTCCACCAGAGCCTTCTTGTGGCTGCGACATTCTGTAACTTGGAATATGAGTAACATGACCAACAACGGCCTCCTACCCCGGGGACAGCAGCACCCTCTGCATCAGGAAGCCTCGTGCGCTGGCTAGAAGCCTGTGCTGTGATTTTTAGAACAGACTGTCCCCATTCTCCAAACCTCACTGATGTCATGGTGACAACGGCCACCAGAAGACAGTGACTTTACAGAGAAAAAAAGAGTACCCGGGGAGCCGACCAGGGCTGGCAGTACACACTAAGCCAAGACTCACCCAATTTGTACATTAGACACAGCCTCTTAAATCCCTTCCAGAAATGAGTTCCACTTCAACTGAAAAAATAAGTTGAAGATTCCCCAGTCACTGCCATCTCAAGACTCTCCAGTCTATGGTTAGCCCCAACATCCCCAATCACTGCCCCATTTGAGAATCAGATGGCCCAAAGACTGTAGGTGTCTTCAGGAAGTCCTACAGGCCCTTGAAAACTGCTTTCTCTGCAGATAGCTCTGAGCTAACACATGAGTGGACAGCCCACTTAGCCAAGAACTACTTTTAGTTTTATTTCCTCTGTTTACTCTTCCAAACACAGAATGAAATAAACCAGGATCTTATTTGGAGAAGGTGGAAGGGCATCTTAGCCCAAAGGCTTCACAGGAAAAGAGAGGCTCTCTCCCAAGAGATTCCAAGGCAGAGGGAAAGGAACAAAAGAGGAGAGGAAGGGGTGCAGGCAGCAGGCCCCAGGGCACCAGATGGGCCTGCCAGTCTGCTGGAATGTGTTTCCTCCAGGAGCTACCTCTCAGATGCCAGCTCTGAACGAGGCATGGTCTCCCCATGCAGGTAGTTTCGTTCCTCCCACTATATCACTCACAAGATAAGAGCTCCCAACAGTCCAGACACCTTAATAACATGGCCTCCTGATTCAACTTCTGAGTGGTTCAGCTACTTTCAGAGAAAGTACGACTGCCAATTCTCTCAAGTCAGGTACAAAAGTCTGAATTTCAAACTCACCCTGGTTAACACCCCAGAGTCATAAATGCTTCTCAAGATTTCCTGAGTAGCTAGACACAAGAATCCAGAGTCCCAGATACAGAACACCAGACCTTCAGAAGATGGTAAATCCCTGTCCTGTTGGGCACAGATTGTGCACTTGGCCTCAAAATGGTCTCCGGTGAGACTAAGGCAAGCTAATGGGGAACAGAATACAGCACTATTCAAGCCAGAGTGCCTACCCGCTCTGGCCTCCTGGTCCTCCTAGCAAAAGCTACCACTGCAGATGAGAGCCCACTGGTCCTCAAGAGGCGGTCTGCCCCAGGGCACATTTCTAAGACACACTCTATTAAGCAGAGCTCTGGGCTCCAGAAACCACATCCTAGATAATAATTCAATATCAAATAATATAAACTCTCCTGACTGGGCTTCTGTCACAGAGAAGGGGTTACTCTGAAGCTTGACAGGAACACACAAACATGTTAGAGGAGCTGCAATGAGAAACAGAGGGTAAGGAGGCAGTGCTGATGTCTGTCCACAGATGAGGAGGGAATGAGGGCAATGCAGCTTTCCCCAGCAGCATATGGGACAGAGCCACACTTAAGGCACCTGGATTTGTAGTCAACTCCAGTTCTGAGATTCAGCCTGTCTGGTGATGTGTAACCCATTGTGCAAGGTGCACGGTCTCTTCCCTCCCTCAGTGGTTGGATCCAGCACCAGCAGACAGGGATAACCTAGGGCTTTCTCAGTGAGAAAGCTGCCAGCATCTGACACAATCCAGACAAATCAGCACAAAGCACTGAGCCAAGGTTCAAGGCCACTCACGCTCTAGAATCCAGCAGGGAGCAACACTGGTCAGTGAATGCACAGGGACTTCTGCAGCAAAGTGCTGGCCCTTCTTTCCCTGGCCCCACGTGGCCTTTCTCCCAAGCACCTTGGGAGACAGCTCTCCTGTCACAGTTACTGCGATGCCTCACTGTGACTATTACCACATAGCTAGGCTCCTCCTATAGCCTCCTTCCTATCAGTGCTAAATCCTGGCCGCAGCAACCATCTTAGAGAGGTTAGGCTGAGCATCTAGAGCCACCCACACTGTCAGACAACCACAGGGAGCTGAGGCAGCAAGAGTCCATCCAGTAAGGGCCCCAGGACAAAAGTAGCCCACAGGATGTGCGAAGACGCTCTTTTAAGAACACATCTCTCCAACAGGCCATCGCAGCCTATCTCAGCCTTTCCAAACAGCCGGCACCATTCCAACTAGCAGTTTGAAGGATGAGTTATGTGTTACTTAGGTCTGACCTGCCAGGATGGTTCCAGATACTACTGAAAATCCTCCTAAATAAGAAATCTACAAAGAGTTTCAGAGGCAAATCCCCATCAAAAGCCAATCCTCCAGGCTCTGCTGTGTAGAGAAAACGAAATCCCTCCTTTAAATGAGCTGCTGGTGTGTAACTATACTCTGCTCCAACACGAGCCAGATTAGCCCCGGGAGCCTGATTAACACTATTAGAAGTCTAACTGCACGTCACATACACTGGGAGCACCACTGACATTTTATGAAGCCTCCCAGAAAGAAGCCTAGAAATAAAAAACAAAACACAATAAGGCCTGCTCTGGCCTCGAGATATATTACTGTTCCAAGAGCAAAACAGACACATTCTGTTTCAGGAGATACTCAAAAGTCAGGAGCCAGGAGAAGCAGAGCAAGCTCATCTTCGTTCCAAAATGAGAACAGGAAGGCACTCCCAGGCTGAAACCTTGCTGTATCCCCAGGCTGAAACCCTTGCTGGCTGAGGATCCTGCAAGTCAGACAGATAAGCAGGCCTCCTCATAAAATGAATCTTTCCGTTTGGCAGCCTTACCCACCCCTAGTGCCTCAACTCTTGGCACCACCTCTTCCTTCCCCCTGCTTTCAAGTTTCTTTCCAGTTGGTTCAGGACTATGCACAGGCTGAGGTCAGACTGTGCTGACACCACCCCAGAAGTGAGAGGAGATGCCTGGAAGAGGCCTACGTTTCAGCTTCCCACAGCACCCAGGAACC